ATCATGAAAAGTGCCCTTTTATCCCCCTTTAAGTGCGCAATCCGAAAAGAACGCAGTCATAATAACTATTATTAGACTATATATTTATTTAATATGTATGGAATAATTTAGTTCTGCGCCATGCCAGGTGCTGAGTTAAGGAGAGAGAGAGAGAGAGACAGAGAGAGAGAGAAATAGAGAGAGAAATAGAGAGAGAAATAGAGAGAGAGAAAGAAAGAAAAAGAAAGAAAGAAACATTATAACGAACAGGTGGTTTTGTCCTACTATAGCGGTCCGTGATGCTAAAGAGATTTTAAGGGTGCATGGTGAGCCTCGTGAATTTCTCGCCCGTCGTAACTAATGCTCAAGTCTCCAGAACCCACATGTCATTCATCAGAGTACAAATCTAATCACCCCTACGTTGGTTAAATATAAGTTCCCCCCGACCCCACCCCCCGTTGTAAGCCTGCACGCTCTCTGTATCCTTTCATCCCATTGCTTATCTATTGTCTTTGGTCTCTCTCTCTCCCTCTCTCTCTTTCTCTCTCTTTCTCTATTTCTCTCTCTCAGCGAGACCCCTCTGTCCACTGTGTCCAGAATAGCCAACCATAAATAAGCAGCAAAAATAGACGTTGAGGACAACTGTTGACAGGTTGTGTGACGAGGGCGGCAGACCTCAGCCAGCCAGCCAACCTCCAGCCAGCACCCCAGATTACAAGCAGATACTTAAGGGCTAACAATGGAGAGTGAGACCTGCAATCTTCCTTTTATAAAGCCTGAATCATGATTGTAGGAGAGAGACAAGGCCCTGTTGTAGTTACGCATGTCGGACATATTGAGATACATGAGATGTATCTTTAGATGGAAAACAAGTGTATGGAAAACAAGGCCTATGTGAGGGATAGAAACGTCAGTAACACTTCATAATAACTTTCATGACTAAGCATTCATACATTATTTATAAATAGTGTAAATACAATTGAAAATGAGTATTGAATTTATTCATAAGCATTTTATAAACATGTATTTAAGCAATTATAAGGGCTTTTTCATGAACGTTATTATAAAGTCTATAAATCCCTTGAAGTGACCACATGGCTTTGTGTAGTGAGTTTAGTTTGGAGATGGCAGGGGCAGGGCAACATGATGCCAGAGCCACACCTTAGCCCCTTTGACCTAAAGGAAACTCTTGAGTGTTCAGGGAGTAAATACTAGCGCTTGGTGTGTATATGTATTGCCTGTGACAACACATTACCAGTTGACCTGCAGATAACAATGCTTTACTGGAAGCCACTTGTTTTCTCTCAGCTCTTGTGAACACTGAGCAATATGTTCTTGCCAAGTCTTTTGATGGATGACACTCTGGAAAGTGTGTTCCCTCCGTATGCGCTATTGTTTTTAATGTCGGCTCATAACAATAGTCACGGCTGAGTGAAAGGTGGAGAAGTAAAATCTAGGGGTGTTGTAGATGGAGACGCCGGCCGAGTTAGCGTTAGCGTCAGAGCCGTTGAGTTGATTTGTTAGCAGGCTAGCCGGCTAAATCAACTCCCAGTATCCACTATGTTTTCCCATTTCACCACCACTCGCTTGCCCGCTGATTTTGCACGTCTAGTCGTGGGCGGCGTCGTGAAACTGCACAGGAGCAGAGTGTGGGCCCCTGCGCTAACAGCATTGCAGAGCGTCCGCAGACTCCACACCTTAACCAGCACCCTGACCTGCCATTAAAAAGGCTCTTACCCTGATCATCCATAAATAAGACTTAACATGGACCTGCTCTCTTCACTTACACTAACAGAGAAGCCAAAGTGCTCACAAATGCGAATTCCAATCCGCAATGTTAAACTTTGGAAAAATTGCGAGTGGGGGGAACATTATATTTTTGTTCCTTTCCTAAAGAAGCAGTTGAAGAGTACAAGGAGGAAGAGGAGGAGGAAAAGGAGGAGGGGGGGAACAGCGAGACCGCAGAAGATTCGGGGCAGATGAGTATCAGCGAATTCTGCAATGTTTCACTTCTGAAATTGTGTGTGTGGGGGGATGATTCTTTTTTCCACTTCTTCCTTTGCATATTCCTTTGCCAGTCGAAGAGGAAGAGAACGAAAGGAAGGAGGAGGGGGGAAAACGGCAAGCGCGGAAGAGAAGAGTCTGAGGCGGATGAGTCTATCAGCCTCTCCTCCAGGAACTTGTAGTTCATGACAGCCTTTTATCCACCATCAAAGCAACAAGTGGATGAGCAGACTCAGCGAATCCTCGAAGCTCTCCCCGATGTCTCGTTCTCCACCCGTCTGTGGGGATTGCCGGCCCTAAATCTTTCCTTTTAACAAGTGCCTCCGCTTCCTTCCGGTCCCGGGGAGAGTCTCAGAGGACTACCGGGGCTCTAGGATGCTACGTTCTGGACTTGTCCAGACTTGTCTTCTGGGCCGGGGCTATTGGTGTCCAGGGACCGAGGGAGGACCGACATTGGGAAGTAATGGTCAAACAGGACAGACAGGGGGAAAGAGCGGTCCATAGTGGTTGTCAATGGTCAAATGGGGCTAAAGCGACTCTAAAGCGACTAGGCATGAAAAAACACAGACATGGTTCAGCAGTAAATAAACGGCGTGAGTGATCTGTCAAATGTCGATGTAATTGTGTGTATATCCTGGATTCTTGTAGTAGCTCAAGACTTTAAATGGTTCCATTTTGAGAACCTTGCTTGGCAGATGTCTATACGCTCTCTGTCTAAAATCCATAATTTTATCCGGAGCATTTTTTTCTTTAAGCGCTGACACTATATAGAAAAAGAACAATTTCGGCATATATTGGAATTATCGGAAAGCTAAAATACGGTGCTTTTTCAGTATTTATGGAAGAGAGAGTATTTTTTTGCCCGTTGTTCAATCATTTATGACTGAAAATAGGCCTTTGTGACCCTCCTCGCGCTCCATCCTGCCCTGATCAAACAGATATTGTTACCACTAAAATAGCAGCTTAAAAAAACAGGCTGCCAGCAGACTTCAGCCTGGGACAGAGACAAGAGAGAGGGTGGGGAGGGTGGACAGAGAGGGGGGGGGGAACTAGAGTGAGTGAGCAAGAGTGAAGTTTAGTGAGAGAGAGAGTGGGAAGTGAGAGAGAGAGAGAGAGAGAGAGAGAGAAAGAGAGCGAGCGAGCGAGAGAGAGAGAGAGAGAGAGAGAGAGAGAGAGAGAGAGAGAGAGAGAGAGAGAGAGAGAGAGAGAGAGAGAGAGAGAGAGAGAGAGAGAGAGAGAGCAAAAAAAATATGTACAGGAGCAGGCCCTTACAAAAACTCACACGCCATCTCCAATTGTGGCTGCCTGGCGGGGCACGGCGGGGGGATATCATCTATCAGTGGACAAATGCAGGGACCGAGAATGCTGCTCCTCAAATGAAATAATATATCTTTGAAAACCTATGCCTGCACCAGGCCCAGGGCCCATATATCAAGCCTGAGCGTCTGGTGGATCCGGTCCAGGCCCATTAACCTTCCACCTGTTTCCCCCCTTGTCCTTCACCATGCACCCCTGCCCTTGGTGTGCCTCTCCCCGGCCCTTGTTCATCTTCCCCCTCCTCCCTCCTTTTTTCTTCTCCATCACTCTCTCGCTCTCCCTCTTTTTGACTCTCTCTCTCTTTTTCTCCCTTTCACTCATTCTCTCTTTCCCTCTCTCTGGGGCACTAATGTAAAGCGATAGAGAGAGAGAGAGGGAGAGAGAGAGAGAAAGAGAAAGAGAGACGGGGGGCTAGCCTGTGGAATAATTCAAATGCAATGGACCAGGGACACAGTTACAAATCTCTGCCAGCTGGGACGCCAGTGGCGCGCACGCAGTTTGTCAGAGCTGACCTCAGTGACAAGAGCGCAACGAGAGGGAGAGTGGGGGGTGGGACGTATGGCTTGGGGATGGCAGTGGGATGGCGGGGATGTGGGTGAGGGGTTGTAGATATAAATCCGACCCCCCTTCACCTCCATCCTGCCTTTCACCCCTCGAGTTCACAGATCACACCTAAAACGCCTTATTAATTTCCCCCGGTTATGGGGTGTAAAAAAACACAATCAGGGTGTGTGTGTGTCCCGCCTGCACCTTGAAATTGGACTGCTCCGAGAGGTTGCAGTGTGAGGGGAGAGAGGAGAGAGGAGGGGTCGATTGGGGAGAGGTTGTAGAAAAAGGCTGCAATTTCACAAAAGTAAATTCATGTAATATTTATGGCTGGTGAAATTATGCAGCTTTGTGGGAAAGCATCAGATCAGTACATTATACACTCAGGTAAATCTATAAATTGAGAATATTCAGGTACGTTATAAAACCCCCGGGATTCTGACTGTCGTCCTGCGAGATTGACTGACGTACACGCTATAAAAAATGTATGTTCACAAACACACTGCACACACACACACACACATCTATGCCCTGTAGACTATAGAGGGACGTATGAACGGCAGTACACAGAGTAAGCACTGTAAATAATTCCATTGCTGATATATATTTTTCAATTGGATAAATGTTTTTGGCGATTCTATCTCTCTTCTTTCACATAGTGACAGGGTAGTGGTAGACCATTCATAGCTTAGAGTAAATATTGCTGTTGCTTACATTTTATGTGTATACATCTTTACCCACTGGGCAAAAACTGGTTGAATCAATGTTGTTTCCACGTCATAAAATAAATACATCTATGTGATAACATTGAATCAATGTAGAAAACTGATTGGATTTGCAAAAAGTCATCAACGTAAGGGAATTTTTTCTTTTTTTCACTCAACTTTTAATCTAAATCCAATGAAATGGTGACATGTTTTGTTGATATCATGTTGAATTGACTTTAGTTGACAAATCAACCAAATGTAAATCAAAACTGTGCCCAGTTGACTAAATTAATTGGAGCGATCTTTAAGTCTCCAGTACCCAAAACAAAACCATTCAACAATTTAATTCAACCACATAAAATAATATGTCTACATAATACTGTATTAACACTGCAATACTTGTTTGATTGAATGGAGCATTTAAGTCAAAAACAAGTCGTAAAGTCAAGAGGCAGACTGAGGCTCCTCTCCTCTCCTCTCCTCTCCTCTCCTCTCCTCTCCTCTCCTCTCCTCTCCTCTCCTCTCCTCTCCTCTCCTCTCCTCTCCTCTCCTCTCCTCTCCTCTCCTCTCCTCTCCTCTCCTCTCCTCTCCTCTCCTCTCCTCTCCTCTCCTCTCCTCTCCTCTCCTCTCCTCTCCTCTCCTCTCCTCTCCAGCTGCTAATCCAATAAGGACCAGGGCAGCACAGCTGGGTATGGGCCCAGAAACAAGGCCCTAATACAGTCCCCCCTCACTTAACGGCAGGTCTGGTATTGTCATCGTCATTACCTCGGAGGAGAGGAACCCTGAAGCCCAAGCTGTCCCAGAACAAATGTGAAAGGACTAAAATAAATATTGGCGCCACATGTCAAAGCGTCATAGGCTTTGCCCAGTTGAGTTTTATCAGGTCGATGGACTAAATCTATTTGTTATGTTACAGTGCGTGTTTGTGTGTGCGTGCATGTGCGTGTGTCGGGTTCATTTTAACTGTAGTATAAACAAGTAAGTTGTCTTGTCACAACACAATTATTCTGTGGTGGAATAATAGCGTAATAATAGTGGGGGTATAAGTATCAGGGGATAAAAACACGACTAGAAGCTGGGAGGAATAATAGAAACATAATAGAAACATATGAATCAATAACCACAATTGGAGACTTAATTCGGTCCCATTGTGTTGGTGGGAGCTAGAGGAAAAGCGTGGCTCACGCATCCTCTCCCTGGAACAATGGAGGAAAGGCCCAGGAGCCGAGGTGGTTCTCTCCATGGACCCCGGTATGAATCATTCCTCAGCTCATGGGCAGAGCGGCAAATGGCAGACACACACAATTTACATTTACATTTTAGTCATTTAGCAGACGCTCTTATCCAGAGCGACTTACAGTTAGTGAGTGCATACATTTTCACACACTCATGCACATACAGACAAACTGACATACACACATGCATGCACGCACAGACACAGACAAACTGACATATACACAGAAACACATTTACAAAGCCACACATATAGTAAACACACACAGACGCACGCATGCACACATGCACACACACGCAGCATGAGTAAGTCTGATCGTTCCTGTGAACCCAATGGCAGTTTGGCCCTGAGAATAGACACACTAATAGTCTGGCTAATGATTGGTTGGAACCAGCTCTTAAGCGGGAGGGACTGCGTTTGTCAATTAGTAATTTATTACCATTACATGCCACAGGTTGGTGTGATTGGGTGTTTATTAAATGGTGCCTGGCATAAAGGCTTGCCAGGCTATGGGAGGAGTGTCACAGACACACGCTAACCCTGCTGTGCCACCTCCTCAGTGACAGCTAGCCACAGTGAGCCACACATCTGTTTCCCTCTGTGCCCAGAGCGAGCCCAGCAATAATAGGGAGGGACGCTACTGCTAAAACACACACACACTTGCTACCAAAATGACATTCACATGTAAAAAGCCACTCTTCCCAAAACTCCATGCTTTCCCCGCTCATATTACCATTTACTACAGTAATAACCAAACCAGGACACCTGGCTTCAAAAAGTCTGAATGTGAAACGAGTTAAGACTGAGGTAGGTAGGGCTGGAACCAAAAAAGATACATAAAAGTACAGTTAAAGATCTAATCCAAAGGTGTGAGAATTGTGAAACGATTCTTGGCCAAGTGTCTTTCTTCTCCGGCTGCTCAGTTGCAGAACAACACAATGGGCTCCTCTATTCAGTGATATCTAAAGGCTAAATATTTATGACTCCTGTAACCAGGTCCAACTTATGGAAACTAAATCTTTAAACACTTTTGGCAGAAGCTTCTCACCACTTGGCTCCATTACCAGAGAAATTATTTTATTCTTACCAAGCTAATGATAGGGGCCTGTAGAGGGAAGGGTATTTATAGTGCCCTCGGAGCCGGGGTCTCAGACCAGCTTTTATTCCATGTGTATTTCCTGTGTTTATCGCCCGCTCTCGTCCTCATTTTGAAATTATTTATATATTAGATGTAGCGGTCTACAGAGTTCACCAGTAGTAGTATTTGAATGTCTCACTGAGATATGGTGAATTGCAGAAATGCACATGGACACACGCATACACACATTTTATGATTCTGACACTGATGAACACAGATTGAGTCAAATCACCAGAAAATTTGTCTGAAAACACAATTTTAAATAATTGAAAAAGTATGAAAACACAGTACAAGTAAATTTAGACATCTATCTTCCTACAGTAGCATGTGTGGGTCAGTGTGTTGAAAAGGCCAAAATGCAGGGGGGCAACATCCCACAAAGCCTCTCTGCCTACTGTCTCAGTAGCTGCCTTAGCTTAGCAGAGCTCCAATTTGCCAGCGCTTGTGGAAACAATGCAGGGCCTACACAGGGCTTTTCTCCAATCACCACCACTAAGCTTTATGCTCAACAATAGCTGAACAAGTATCTACTAATTAGAAACAAGAGGAGGGTGGGGTCTAGAGTACAGTGAAAGCTGTCAGTGCCTGCCTGCTAGCACATAATTCTTCAGCCCTGCTAGGCAAGCTGCTTTAGTCTAAACTAGAGTAGCTAGATGAGGTAGTGTAAAAAATGCACCCCCCGCCCCCCCACACTCCGTGGCCCCGCCTGTTACCACGTGCCCCCGTCCCACTCCAGAAGGGGTGGCGGATACAGGAATATGGGTACAGGAATTAGCCCCCACATTTACCGGGGGTCGTTCTCCACAATTTTAACACCCGAGGCTCTGTTCCAATTAAGTCTATGAGTAATATGGACAGACATTAGCTTGGACATAATGATATTTCATTCTGAAGTGAACGAGGGGCGACATCTACAAGTGGATATAGGTAATTGAATTCGAATGGAGAGTTTGGAGAGGTATGCTGCTCCACTCACTGCACAATGATCATTCAGTGGCTTAAATGGACAAAAGAACATGTACAACCACACCCGACTCTCCATTCCATGTATTCAGTGAAGTACTGTACAATAAAACATTTTTATTTGATGCTAATTCAGATATAGACAATGTCAATAGGGATTGGCTGCGTAATAAATGTCAACGTGTTTTTGAGAGCTCTTGCCCCGAATACAGAATTGGATTGTGTTGAATATTTCATTTCTATTTCCCTCCCCTAAAAATTCAGACGACTGCAATGGGGGCCCTAGTACATTAATATGCAGTCATGCCTTTGGCTACGGAGTAAACAGACAAAAGAGTGAGATAAGAGAGGGGGCAGAGAAAGCGAATTAAAGAAAAACAGGTGATCCACACAGACTCATCAGAGCCTTTTCATGTTGCTCTCCGCATATTAACCTTCTCTACTGAACAAATAAACCTCGGAGCAAACGAAACCACGCTGGAAACATTCCCCGTTCCTCTCAGGGACAAAAAAATGAGGAATAATCAGGTTTTTACAGGAAGACTCATCGTTGGCCATCTAGGGTTGTTTTGGTGGGCAGCTGTTAGTGATTGGTTGACAAAACACTACAAAGTATGTCAACCAAACTTTACTTTGGCTCCAAACTGGCCAGGAAAACTGTCTACTGCAGTATCCTCACTGAAAGCGGAGCTTTCGGAACAGAGTTCGATAACATATCAATGAAATTGTAATACTTCAATTAAGCATGCATTACTACTAAATGGGTTGATAGGATGAGAATATCAATATCATAATTCATTAATTCATTATCATTAATAATAATAGGGACATATGGACTGCATTTTTCAAGTATTTTCCATTGACCTCTGCCGCTGTGATGCATGCATTGTGGGCCTATGATCATATTTTATTTGTATTTCAATATTTTCATACAGTCCCTGCCTACTTAGATCTCAAAGATGATACAGGGAAAAAGGGCACATTAAATCCAAAATCCAAATCAAATCCAAGAGCAGGGCATCCCGCTGCTTTGAATGAAAAGAGCCTGAAGGCGGCCAGTCAAAGTTTTCCTAACCCATACCCGAAATGTGTCACAGCGTGTAAATAGGGCTGGCTACTGAATTTTGATCAGGATGAGAGATAGACGGCTAAAGCTACACCGTAGCCCTCCCTCTCAGCTTCGTACACATTGCATTAGTTTCGAGCGGACACATAAAAGGGAAAGATTAAAGGCGGGTGAAGATAAATATTAGGGTGGGTTTGACGAGGAGTGAGTTCACAGGGGTGTGTGTGTGTGTGTGTGTGTGTTAAACTGTCAATTTTGGATAACAACATTGGGTTGTAACATTGAACGCTTGGACAAAATGCAGGAGCATTATGCAAGGCCACAGAAAGAGGGTAGGTATAACGATTATATTGTATATTCATCAGAAAAAATGTCAAGATATAATACATGTATATGACCGAGTTTGATATGTGTAATATGCATGACTTGTTGTATATTGTAGTTAGCTAACCAACATATCTAATTTCATTCACATCATCAGTAGTTTAGCAACCACTAAAAATGATTTATGTGAAACATTGTGAAAATATAGAAAACCAATGTACTGTATATACAATACAGATGTACTGTTTATGTGTTTGACTAGTGTTTGTCTATATGCACGTTAAACCTTCTGAATGATGCACATGATCAATTAAAACAGACATACAGTATACAGTGTGAGTGTGTGTAAAATTCAACATGGTGTCTGTGTGTAGTGACCCCACGTACCTTGAGCTCGCGGAAGAAGATGCTGCTCCGGGCCCACTCCACAATGGAGAACAGCGTCTGGTCGGCCATCTTACACATAAGGCCGAACGTGTTGAGTTTCTCGTGCTTCCCCCGGCTGGCCTGCTCCTGCTGCAGATAGGTCAGGATCTTGGCCTGCACCTGGGGCTCGTCAGGCTCACACTTCAGCAGCTCCACGATGAGGTGCGGGAAGTTGGGCGGCGAGCCCGTCTGGTACGCGTCCATATACGGGTTGTAGCCCATGATGGACTCGGGCGAGCTGGTGTACGGGTCCGGGTACTCGGACTTGATGGTGCGGGTGCTCTGGAAGTGGCCGTAGGCCGCCTGGTAGCCCTGGAGGGAACCGGCATGGGGGGGCATGGCCATGCTGATGGGCGACGTGACGAAGGGGCTGCGGTCGTAGTCTGTGTGGGGCAGGGCGGCGTGGTGCGGGTGACCGTGGTGGCTGAGCGGCAGTCCCTTGGAAGCTGCCTGGTGGATGTTCTGGATAGCCGAGGAGATGGTGAGGTCGGTCGGCACCGCCTGCATCACCTGGGTCATGGCCTCGATCTTCAGGCCGTTGGCGCGGATCAGTGCCTTTTTCTGCTGCTTGAGCGCCCGGTCGCGCTTGTACATGGGGCCGAACTTGTTGCGGCCGCCGCGCATGCGGTCCGCCCTCACAGCTGACGGAGACAGACAGACAGGAGAGGAAGGACAGAAGAAGAGGACGTTAGTGACATGATAACATCTACATGTATTTCCATTTATTTTAGCAGGTAAGCTGACTAGGAACACATTATCCTGGCGGGAGTTGCAGGGGGAAGGAGAGAAAAAGATATTAGCAATATTGATAAACTAATTAAATAAAAATGTATTGCAGTCTATTTAAGCCAGTGTTCTGAAACTTCCGGCCCGCGGGCCACAAAGAGGCAGCTCATGGGCCAGGAGTTTGAAACCTCTGAGCAAATGTCATTCATGACTCCCATGTGTTCTTGACAAGAACCCACACCAAACTATTAGCATTGATGAATCATAGAGATATCAACAATGGCCATTTAACACAGATCTCCCCTTTCATCTTACAGTTCATGCATAAAAGGAAAAAAAACTAAAAAAAGAACTTGGTTCAAGGACATAGATTTCATCAATGACTACTAAACTTTGTGTTGACCTTTGCACTCGAGAACTCGGATGTCTCAGAGCAGGGAAATACAGCCTTGTCACTCAGCTTGACAAGTTGTAAACGCTAGTTACTCATTGACCTGAAACAGTAACTATTATGAACCTATGTAATACTGATACGTACCAGACAACAAGGCTATTAGTCATTTCTCCAAGCATACCGTCAGTCCAAATTAGCAGAGTGAGGTCAAAATCAACATTATTTAGGCCTACACTCATTCAAAACACTGAAAAGTGTTTACACTGAAAATGATTTACCCTCATTTAAAACACTGGAAAGTGTTAGCACTGAAAATGACATTCATTCAAAACACTAAAAAGTGTTAACACAAAGAATTACACTAATTCAAAACACTGAAAAGTGTTAACACTGAAAATCTAACCGGAGTACAAACATGACAAGAATGTTACATTTCCTAATGATCCCAAAACATCATATGAAAACCCCAGCAGAATCCCGAATGATCCCAAGATTCCGAGGATCACGGCTTCATTCAGGCTAATGAATGAGACTGTCTCCATGGTGCACGGCGGACCATGTATGATCTGAACCATGCATGCCAAGGGGGAAGAATGTCTCTCTGCCTCTCTCTCTCGGGTGCCCCCCTGTTAATTATTTATGCTTAATTAGGTATCTCTTATGCCCGGCCTGTGGTGGAGTAGAGCAGGCAGCAGACTGGCTAGGCTGGGCTCAGTGGGAGAGTGAACCAGGCGGGACCCCCCCCCACAATACTGGGTCAGGGCGGACACACCGTCAGGCACTCAGGCCTCTAATATCTCTAGTAGGGAGTAGGTATTGAAATACATTAAGTGATTAGAAGGGGGCTGGACCAACAGCTGCCTTGGGAGTAGTTTTAATGGTCTCTGTCACAGCAGTGTCTGTCACAGTGGCGGTGATCTGAGAAAGGGGCCGAGAGAGGCTTAGAGGGGAGAGCACAGGGGCCGCAGACACAGTACAGAGGGTATCACACACTGACGCAGCACTGATCAGAGAGAGAGGTAAGGGGAGCACAGAGGGTCCGCAGACAGTGGCACCTAGAAGAAGAGCCTGGCTAAGTGACACACAAAAAATATATATATACTGTACAGTGGGGAAAAAAAGTATTTAGTCAGCCACCAATTGTGCAAGTTCTCCCACTTAAAAAGATGAGAGAGGCCTGTAATTTTCATCATAGGTACATGTCAACTATGACAGACAAAATGAGAAAAAAAATTCCAGAAAATCACATTGTAGGATTTTTTATGAATTTATTTGCAAATTATGGTGGAAAATAAGTATTTGGTCAATAACAAAAGTTTCTCAATACTTTGTTATATACCCCTTGTTGGCAATGACACAGGTCAAACGTTTTCCGTAAGTCTTCACAAGGTTTTCACACACTGGTGCTGGTATTTTGGCCCATTCCTCCATGCAGATCTCCTCTAGAGCAGTGATGTTTTGGGGCTGTCGCTGGGCAACACGGACTTTCAACTCCCTCCAAAGATTTTCTATGGGGTTGAGATCTGGAGACTGGCTAGGCCACTCCAGGACCTTGAAATGCTTCTTACGAAGCCACTCCTTCGTTTCCCGGGAGGTGTGTTTGGGATCATTGTCATGCTAAAAGACCCAGCCACGTTTCATCTTCAATGCCCTTGCTGATGGAAGGAGGTTTTCACTCAAAATCTCACGATACATGGCCCCATTCATTCTTTCCTTTACACGGATCAGTCGTCCTGGTCCCTTTGCAGAAAAACAGCCCCAAAGCATGAAGATTCCACCCCCATGCTTCACAGTAGGTATGGTGTTCTTTGGATGCAACTCAGCATTCTTTGTCCTCCAAACACGATGAGTTGAGTTTTTACCAAAAAGTTATATTTTGGTTTCATCTGACCATATGACATTCTCCCAAACTTCAGACGGGCCTGGACATGTACTGGCTTAAGCAGGGGGACACGTCTGGCAATGCAGGATTTGAGTCCCTGGCGGAGTAGTGTGTTACTGATGGTAGGCTTTGTTACTTTGGTCCCAGCTCTCTGCAGGTCATTCACTAGGTCCCCCCGTGTGGTTCTGGGATTTTTGCTCACCGTTCTTGTGATCATTTTGACCCCACGGGGTGAGATCTTGCGTGGAGCCCCAGATCGAGGGAGATTATCAGTGGTCTTGTATGTCTTCCATTTCCTAATAATTGCTCCCACAGTTGATTTCTTCAAACCAAGCTGCTTACCTATTGCAGATTCAGTCTTCCCAGCCTGGTGCAGGTCTACAATTTAGTTTCTGGTGTCCTTTGACAGCTCTTTGGTCTTGACCATAGTGGAGTTTGGAGTGTGACTTTTTGAGGTTGTGGACAGGTGTCTTTTATACTGATAACAAGTTCAAACAGGTGCCATTAATACAGGTAACGAGTGGAGGACAGAGGAGCCTCTTAAAGAAGAAGTTACAGGTCTGTGAGAGCCAGAAATCCTGCTTTTTTGTAAGTGACCAAATACTTATTTTCCACCATAATTTGCAAATAAATTCATTAAAAATCCTACAATGTGATTTTCTGGATTATTTTTTCTCAATTTGTCTGTCATAGTTGACGTGTACCTATGATGAAAATGACAGGCCTCTCTCATCTTTTTAAGTGGGAGAACTTGCACAATTGGTGGCTGACTAAATACTTTTTTCCCCACTGTATATAGTGCACTATGGGCCCTGGTCAAAAGTAGTGCACTATAAAGGAAAACATTTGGAACGTGGATCCCGTGTATCCATTATACATTATTGTAGCGACTTTAACCATTAATGACTCAGAGCAACAGGGTAATTAATGAGCTGAAAATTAATAGTCGGCCCTTTTGGGAAAACACAATTAGGTCTGAACCTGGGACTCACATCATGAATACTGGAGCATTTTTGATAGCAGTTTTTTTTATTATTTACATGCATGTTGTACAGGTTATTTACATGCATGTTGTACAGATTAATCTGGGATGGGGCTCAGGGATGGGGCCTTAGCTGGGGGATTGGGGTTTAGGGCTAGCTGGGGTTGGGATTGGGGTTTGATACTGGGGAGCATACTGTACTGTATAAGGCAGGAGCTGAGGTATAGGGCTGGAGCAGGGGCTGTGGTATAAGTTAAGAGTATAGGATTATAGTATAAGGCTGGGGCTGAGGTACAAACACACACACACACACTCTACACTCCATCCCGGGCCCGGCCCGCTGCGGCACAAAGGGCTCTGCTTATGGTCTGATTTATGAGTGTTTAATATACAGGAATATTAAGTGAGCGTAGGTGTGGATCCCTGTCGGGCAGCAGCATATTAATGGTTCCCCTGGCCGGGTTCTGACACCCTGTTTGTCATGTCTGCCCGGTCCCCACTCTGGATGCGCGCTACCCCACGCACACACATGAATACCTATGATACCTATGCATAAGTAATGGGACAGGAGACTGGCTTCCGTTCCGTCCAGGTAGAAAGGGAAACAAGACAGGGCAGGGAGAAAGGGAGGAGGAAAAAAAGGAGAGCGGCGGGAAAACACAAACACACGGGAGACAATTCCGTTTATCTATGTGGAAATATTAGGATTTGGCAAGGGTTCAATCAAACCTGCACTGCAGAAAAAAGTTATGTTTTTCCTTAACAGCGATATTGCATGTTACAGTGAGAATCTAAATGGGATAATATGTTTTGTTTAAATGACTGAACAGTACTTACTATAAAGTATACAGTGAAGGAAAAAAGTATTTGATCCCCTGCTGATTTTGTACGTTTGCCCACTGACAAAGAAATGATCAGTCTATAATTTTAATGGTAGGTTTATTTGAACAGTGAGACACAGAATAACAACAACAAAAAAATCCAGAAAAACGCATGTCAAAAATGTTATAAATTGATTTGCATTTTAATGAGGGAAATAAGTATTTGACCCCCTCTCAATCAGAAAGATTTCTGGCTCCCAGGTGTCTTTTATACAGGTAAAGAGCTGAGATTAGGAGCACACTCTTAAAAGGAGTGCTCCTAATCTCAGTTTGTTACCTATATAAAAGACACCTGTCCACAGAAGCAATCAATCAATCAGATTCCAAACTCTCCACCATGGCCAAGACCAAAGAGCTCTACAAGGATGTCAGGGACAAGATTGTAGACCTACACAAGGCTGGAATGGGCTACAAGACCATCGCCAAGCAGCTTGGTGAGAAGGTGACAACAATTGGTGCGATTATTTGCAAATGGAAGAAACACAAAATAACTGTCAATCTCCCTCGGCCTGGGGCTCCATGCAAGATCTCACCTCGTGGAGTTGCAATGATCATGAGAACGGTGAGGAATCAGCCCAGAACTACACGGGAGGATCTTGTCAATGATCTCAAGGCAGCTGGGACCATAGTCACCAAGAAAACAATTGGTAACACACTACGCCGTGAAGGACTGAAATCATGCAGCGCCCACAAGGTCCGCCTGCTCAAGAAAGCACGTATACAGGCCCGTCTGAAGTTTGCCAATTAACATCTGAATGAGAACTGGGTGAAAGTGCTGTGGTCAGATGAGACCAAAATCGAGCTCTTTGGCATCAACTCAACTCGTCGTGTTTGGAGGAGGAGGAATGCTGCCTATGACCCCAAGAACACCATCCCCACCGTCAAACATGGAGGTGGAAACATTATGCTTTGGGGGTGCTTTTCTGCTAAGGGGACAGGACAACTTCACCGCATCAAAGGGACGATGGACGGGGCCGTGTACTGTCAAATCTTGGGTGAGAACCTCCTTCCCTCAGCCAGGGCATTGAAAATGGGTCGTGGATGGGTATTCCAGCATGACAATGACCCAAAACACACGGCCAAGGCAACAAAGGAGTGGCTCAAGAAGAAGCACATTAAGGTCCTGGAGTGGCCTAGCCAGTCTTCAGACCTTAATCCTATAGAAAATCTGTGGAGGGAGCTGAAGGTTCGAGTTGCCAAACATCCGCCTCGAAACCTTAATGACTTGGAGAAGATCTGCAAAGAGGAGTGGGACAAAATCCCTCCTGAGATGTGTGCAAAACTGGTGGCCAACTACAAGAAACGTCTGACCTCTGTGATTGCCAGCAAGGGTTTTGCCACCAAGTACTAAGTCATGTTTTGCAGAGGGGTCAAATATTTATTTCCCTCATTAAAATGCAAATCAATTTATAACATTTTTGACATGTGTTTTTCTGGATTATTTTGTTATTATTCTGTCTCTCACTGTTCAAATAAACCTACCATTAAAATGATAGACTGATAAAATAAAATGTAGACCTCCACAAGTCTGATTCATCCTTGGGAGCAATTTCCAAACGCCTGAACGTACCACATTCATCTGTACAAACAATAGTACGCAAGTATAAACACCATGGGACCACGCAGCCGTCATACTGCTCAGGAAGGAGACGCGTTCTGTCTCCTAGAGATTAACGTACTTTGGTGCGAAAAGTGCAAATCAATCCCAGAACTTCTGACCTTGTGAAGATGCTGGAGGAAACAGGTACAAAAGTATCTATATTCACAGTAAAACGAGTCCAATATCGACATAACCTGAAAGGCCGCTCAGCAAGGAAGAAGCCACTGCTCCAAAACCGCCATAAAAAAGCCAGACTACGGTTTGCAACTGCACATGGGGACAAAGATCGTACTTTTTGGAGAAATGTCCTCTGGTCTGATGAAACAAAAATAGAACTGTTTGGCCATGATGACCATCGTTATATTTGGAGGAAAAAGGGGGTTGCTTGCAAGCCAAAGAACACCATCCCAACCGTGACGCACAGGGGTGGCAGCATCATGCTGTGGGGGTGCTTTGCTGCAGGAGGGACTGGTGCACTTCACAAAATAGATGGCATCATGAGGAAGGAAAATTATGTGGATATATTGAAGCAACATCTCAAGACATCAGTCAGGAAGTTAAAGCTTGGTCGCAGATGGGTCTTCCAAATCAACCCCAAGCATACTTCCAAAGTTGTGGCAAAATGGCTTAAGGACAACAAAGTCAAGGTATTGGAGTGGCCATCACAAAGCCCTGACCCAGTTACACCAGCTCTGTCAGGAGGAATGGGCCAAAATTCACCCAACTTATTGTGGGAAGCTTGTTGAAGGCTACCCGAAACGTTTGACCCAAGTTAAACAATTTAAAGGCAATGCTACCAAATACTAATTGAGTGCATGTAAACTTCTGACCCACTGGGAATGTGATGAAAGAAATAAAAGCTTAAATTAATAATTCTTTCCACTATTATTCTGACATTTCACATTCTTAAAATGAAGTGGTGATCCTAACTGACCTAAGACAGGGAATTTTTACTAGGATTAAATGTCAGGAATTGTGAAAAACTGAGTTTAAATGTATTTGGCTAAGGTGTATGTAAACTTCCGACTTCAACTGTATTTACTGACAATTTAGCGTTGGGAAATAAAACAAGAATTAACAATTCCCACCATACTTAACAAAGTAATTGATCCAAATTAGATGAATTTCTGATTTTAGTAAGTATGGTACATTTTAACACTAATATGTTTTAAAACATGTTAACTCATTTTAACACTCATCAATGTCAAAATACCTGTGCCAATGCACTTTTTCAAGGGAAAATAAGAGTGTAATCTGTACATTGCCCATTCACACTAAACAGGAAAGACACAACAACAGGAAAAGTGAATCTGAAATCAGATCATGAGCCCTGACCGCACATTAGGCCAAAGGTAAACCATCTATCATGGACATAAATATACAACAAAAGGATATCTCACGGCGGCATTATGTTTTAGACTCCTTTTCCTCCAGGATAGATAGGCGTCGCCATGCTTTTATCAGTCCAGATAACAGGGACTGAATCTCTCTATGGCAGACATGTCAGACTCAGGATACTGTCTGTGTCACTCAGATATGACTGCCTGTATTTTCACCTCTATTTACAGCCCCAGCCCAACACTGTACTGGATATCGACTAGGTCTATTGACTTATCGGTAAACAGGAACAACTTCCGACAAGCAAAACAAACAAACCCAAAAATTATCCTACCTTTTAAAAATGGATTTAACTGCAATTCGACATTTTATTTTTTATTTTTTATCAGCCCAAAATTAAGGACTGAATGGGTCTAGCTGTAAACACCTTTTTTTGGTCCATCTGAATATATTTATAATATATTTATGTGTTTACTGGAAAGCTGTGTCTGGAAGATCAGGTTTCTAGCTCTGTGCTCTTTACAGGTTGTGGCAACTCTCCACACTGCCTCCCTGCCTGTCCACCCGCCTGCCTGCCCGGCTCTGCCCCTGGGCTGGAGTAGACAGAGCGCTGCAGGGCCCCTCCGCCCAGCTGCTACCGTATGAAAACAAATCACGCCGTAGTAAGCTGTAAAATGACAGGCGTGGAAATTCTGCCCCGCGGCCATTCACAATTAATAGTAATTAAAACCACACTCCTGCGGGCTAAGAGGAAAAGACTCCAAAAAAAGAACTGCTATCTTAAAAATGCTTAAAGGTACACACGAATATGGGATGGTTTTATGAAGGTGGTGATTCAACAAGGAAAGGTTTAGGCTAAAGACTGAGGGCCCAAGCAAAATAAAGGTAGATAACAGTGTCAGGGGTAAGACAAGACAATGTTGCTTTTCACTTCTCGCCCCTCTGTGTACCTGCAGGACATGTTTGGATTATCTCTACAGAGTAGGTCGAATTTGGCCCTCATCACTGATACAGGGTCAGATATTTGTTCATCCCCCTAATCCTAACCTGGTAAAAGTTAGGATTGGGGTAGGAGTATCTCATCCGTGATCTGTGGTTTAGGGCAACTTCTACCTCAATCTATTTCTATACAACAACAGTAGAAACCTTTGAAAACCATAGGAGATACACATTCAAACGTGTTTGTTTTTCCTTTGCCCCAAAACTTCCACATAACAGTTTTGTTTGAATAGGGCTGTAGCGTTCCAATTAACTCTAGGGAGCCAAAGATAGTGGACTGGAGAATTTCCACATCTTTACTGATTATTTGGGTGCCCATGCTAAATTCCCACTCCAAGAAGCGTGGTCTGTGCACCAGACTCTGGGCTCAAATAGTATTAGTTTTCTTTCAAATACTTTAGCTGGGTGTGACTGAACTCGCCTGGCGCAATGGAACCAATGGAGTAGTCCCAAAAGTGCAAAACCCGAACATCTGGCACTCTGCAAAATTTTATCAAAACCCTCAAAGTTTTTGAAAGAGAAACAAATACTACTTGAACACAAGTCTGTCATGCACCAACGTAAGTCAAACCCTGACCCTAATTTAGTTGTCCTATACTATGACCTTGTCTTATTGTTTTATAATCTTATTAACAAGAGCTGTCCTTACCTTCCAGCTTCATACCGACGGTGAGGCACTTCTGGAAGCGGCAGTAAGGGCAGCGTTTTCTTTGTGTCTTGTCGATGGCGCAACTCTGGTTCTCTATACATGTGTACCGCTTGTTGTTCTGAACCGTGCGCTTGAAGAAGCCCTGTGGAGAGGCAAGAACTAAGATGTCAACACTTATGACCCCAACGTTTGTAATTGCTCTATTCACACACACACATACTAGAGCGTGCCGCACACACACGCAGGCATACAATGGGAAGCAATCACAGGCACAGGCATATACACAGTGGTATGAACACTAAAGGAATCACAGAAAGGAGGCACAGAAAACACAACCAAAACTATATTCACACAAAACAAATATAATTGTGTGTGCATGATAAACTGACTATTTATACACATAATTCCAGCCATAAATACACATAAATTATCCCAAACAGACTTGAGGGCACACACACACAAATACAACATTTCTTGACACCAGCTCCTGTTCATGACAATGATATGAGAATTGGGCTTCACAGTTCAATGTCTGGTACTCAATTAAACTGAACTGAATAGTGAAAATGCTGATATCAAATGTTTACACTGAAGAAAGCTTAAAACCCTAACAAAGCAGAAAACCCTAAATCTGATATAGCCTACTTGGTATAGCACATACTAATTATTATTCTTATGCGATTAACATGCTAACATCACCCTACTGATTTTCAGTGTTAATGCTGAATTTTTACCCACATGAAAGCAATAATTTTCCCCATACATAAATATGTACTTCGGGTAAGTCTTGAGACAGATGCATGAATATGATTGCCATGTTACTTATACTTGAATTAGTGTTTGATGAAAAGTATAGAATATACTTCTGTTCTCATTATGAGTTTAAACATAGAGTGTTATTACAATATTATGAGTAACATAATCAGATATGTGATCAGTATTTTCATGAAGCAACCTGTTGCAATTCCAGCCATATAATACTTTAAGAACTACTATACATTGGTATTCATACTTACACTACCTATGAAGACTTCAGAATTTACTTGTAAATCTCCTCTATCTATCTCTCAACTCAATTATTTAAAAATATGAGCGTTAGAGTAAAAAATCCAATAAATTATATCCATAATTTACAGATCCGGGATTACACCGTTCTACTTGCACCATTGAATTAATTTTCAGCAGCAGCAGGAAAAATCTAATGGGAAAAAGGTATTAACGTATTCCCGATCCATACCAGCAGGAGAATCCCCTAAACCTGCCCATTTAAAAGTAAAACGATCAATATTTCACCAAATTCCAAACATAGAATTAATGTACAATCTGCATTGCTTGATGCAGTCTCGTGACATAAAAATAAAACCGCACTAGACCAGAAATTAGATACAGTGGACAGACAGTCTACTGACTTCAGCCAGACAAACACGCATCAATGTAATTTTGATTTAGTTTTTCCCAATTTTCCATTGAGTATATGCGCGTTCTATAAACACGTAAGGCCCCAAACAGAGCGTGGATACCAACAACTCAATTTGCGTAAAACCGCAAGATATCACTTCAGTGTCCAGGGTGTCCCAACTTCTCATTTGTGTTTTGTGTAGGCCTACAGTATGTGGCCTATGATGTATTTGTGTGTCTGTACACTGTATCTGTGTCTTTATCCAAAGCTAGACTTTTCCCACAGTTTCTGTGTCTAACAGCGGTTATGGGAAGAGACTAATGCAGACCAGTTTAAATTTATTGCACTCATTTTCAAGTCTGTGATTGTGTGTGCGTGTGTGTGCACGTGCATGTGTGCATCCATTCTGCTTGCCTGCGTGTGTGTGTGTGTGTGTATGTTTGTGTCCGCTTGCATGTGCCTATGTATGTGTGTGTGCGCGTGTGTGTGCGTGTCTGTACAGGTTTAAAGCAGACTAACACTGTATTACTTTGTGTGCGTTTAGACATTGAGTCCTGATACCACCCATCTCAGACCCACGGCAGTGTGGTAGACTGGCGAGAAACGATAAAAACGCTCCAAACCCAATCTTTTTCCAGTCCAAAACACAGCTTCCGTTGAAATAACTACATAGTACACAAATTACACCCCAAATCTGTTCCTGAAACACAGATCCCATTTAGAACTGTGCTGGTGGAACATTTGCCACAGCTTATCGCAAATACAAGATGATTTCGCTGAAGACACTCATTTGAGATCTCATTTGAAGCAATGTTGCTACGGAAGGTATCCTCAAAGCAAACATGTAACATCTCAAGGTCAGAAAACGGCTAAAATCTATAACACCTGTTTTAAATAATGTCAGCATAGGAAGAAATATGTACCGCATATACAGAATGGCTAGCTATACACAAATTGACGTTTAGAGATTTAAAAAATAAAAAAAATAAAAAAAAATAGGCTACTTGAAACTTCATAAAGCAAACAAATGTAGAAGTTAGCTGCTTATAGGCTATGTTCAAGAGAATCACAGATAGACAATCTGATGAAAGGGTAGAAAAGGGGTAGGAAAAAATAAGAACAAACCTTGCAGCTTTCGCAGGTGAGTAGCCCATAATGGTATCCAGAAACCTTGTCGCCACAAACAGGACACATCTCATCCAAGTCTTCGTCATAAGAGTAGTCCATCATTTTATAGTGTGGGGCTGCAATAGACAAAATACACACATGAGCACACAAAGAAGACTGTTTATTTTGAAATGCCATCTCTGCCTAATGCAGTCATCTTTAACGTATACATCTGAATAACTTTACAATGACCTTAGGTTATGGAATATTTTTTGACATCCATAAAATGTCGAATATAATTTTAATTTTAATTTTAAAGCTTTATCAAAAAGGACATTTGACAAAACAGTCATTTTTGAAGGAATAATGTTATTTAATGGAGCTGAAAGAAAATATACCTATGTATCCCTCTTTGCAGCACTCACTCTTGCTCGCCAGTCGCAGACAGGGCAAATATATGAAACTGAGCTTCATAAATATTCATGATTTTAAGTTGTGAATTCATCCGGGAAATGGTAAAATAGAGTTAGGGATTCGAGGAGAAAATGTTACCGCCCACAGACAAATGAAGACATACAGTGTAACCTTTCCCTCTAACAGGCGAAATAAAAATACAAAACTGATTCTGAAATTGAACTTACAAATGCTCTCATTGAATCGCTATTGTTCCTATCTGTATGTATAGGCCTACATTTGTATTGACTTTCCATAAGCCCCTGCTTAGCCTACATTTTACGCGCATGAATACTGAAGCCAATAGTTGCATTGATGAGCGGATATATGACAGTGCTAAGCAAACAGCTTGACTGACATTTACAATGGTTACAAAATGATTTATTGTTCTTATAAAAAGTGGCAAACATCAAACAGAAAAATCTCAATGAATTCCAAAAATAAATTATTTTGCGGATATTAGTCTTATTTTCTATATAAAATAATGTAGGCAAACTTTCAATTGCAATCGCATCTTTCTGCCTGTGCCTGCTGAATTTTTTCTCCATTGACCCTTTGATCTCTCAGCGTTTATAAGCGCTGAATATTAAGTTGAAAGGCAAAAAGTCCTCTTGTGTTTTGTAGTTCTGCAGTGCACTTTTTTTTTTTTTTACTGTTATTAGAGCATTAACTGATAATGTAACCTATTACTTACTATATTACAAACATATCTGCCTGCACGAAAATTCCCTTAGATATGAAATTGTCAGGCCTCGTATTTTCATGACAGGAGAGCAGAACCCATGGATAGCCCAAGTTGTTTGCCAACTCTGAGCCGTTCGGATTTTTGCCAAGTTCAGACAGCTTTTCTGTAACCTAAGGATACACCTAAGCTATCGAATCTTACCTCGGGTTTCTTAAGCACGTGCAGCCTCAAAACTATATCCAGTTAAAATGTTGATATTTTTAAATATATGTTTAAATGAATTGGAGAGAGGCATTTGCTTGTGCACTCACACAGAGAAACTACCCGTGCAAAATCTAGCAGAATATCAGATAGAAATTCTAGCCCTCATGCCTTGAGGGTTGTGTTCCATTATCAGATGTTTTTTTTATCAAAACCACATGAGACTTGATTTTAAATAAAATTGAAATATGTAATTGGCAAAATGAAAGGGATTTACAGATATTAATTCGATAGGCCTCAAATTCTCATCGAAAAGAGATATTATATTTCCATAGCTTATCAAACTTTGGGAAATTCAAGCAAGCACTAGTCTAGCATTATGAGAAGTAACACCAAAACTAAATTGCAACAACCGGTTATAGGTGACAATTTGTAAACTGAACAAAAATGTATCCAAGTAAAATGTATCTAACCCAACTGGGTATTTTTCAATAATTACATAGGCCTACTTTTGCCAGAAAAACATTTTTGTTTTAGGACTATTCCTACTCTGACACAAATAGTAAGCTATCTGATTTACACGCTTTCATTTGCATTCTGGAGTAAAGGTTCTACATGTATCACCCTTTTTTATATCAACTTTCAACTTTTGACAAAAACGTGACGTTAAATAAAATATTTTATCCAAAATAAAACAGTTATTTTAATATCACTGACATAATTTTGCATGGTGGTGAAATCGAGGTTTAAAGATAATAGCCCAGAGTTAGTGACATTTTGGGAATTCACATTTTTCAGGTTTCAACAACTGCTGGCGAATCAGATCATGCATATTACGCAAATGGTAGATATCGGGTGAGCTTTCGGATGGTTTACTCATTAGCCTAGTAAAATACCATCAGATGACTTTGGCTATATGATAGATAAACTGTGGCCTTTAATTTCGTAATATGGCGGAATAAAAAACTATTAATTAAACCGAATGATATCTGACTAAGTGAATTGGGATTTTAATGAATTAATAGAGTGCACAATGCAATCATTTGGCATGCACTATTTGGAGAAAGTCGGTGATAGCAACGCTGATCCTTCGGATCGAATTTGGGTAGGGCGAATTCGCAAGTGCAACATCTTGACCGTCCCTGCATAGACCCTAATATTGTCAGCAAATACGTGAACTATGTCAACTTGAAAACAGAATAAGCGCGAGAGGCAAGACGAGTTTGTTGTCTCTTTCTGTCTAACACTACCAGGTCTTTCGCCTGTTATTGTGCACAAATGACACGATTCGCGCTTGTGATAAGGCACAAGGGACATGCGATCTACAATATTGCGTAAATCGGTCTCAATCTCTTACCTTGCATATTCCTTTGCATGTGCCCCTGTTCTCCATGCGATCGAACGAGTCCCAGAGATTCCGTGTCGGCTTTGGGCAGCATGACAGCTCCGCTGGGCTGAGCGGGAGACTCAGCTCCGTCCGGTGGACCACCTGGACGGGAGAGGGTCACCACAGGTTCTCTCACACACACACCGGAGAAAAGTGACTTCCCAAATCCTGCGCGCTCACTGTGTGGCTCAAATGCAGCGGGCTCGGTTTAAACGGACATTGTATGTTTAGGCTACATACCGGTGGGTAGCCTGCAACGGCGAGACCAATGTAAATTAATTCTGAATAGTGCTCTTGCATAAATTGTAATACGGAGCAAGCTGAACCTAGTATATGAGCATGGTTTCGCCGCGAAGTTGAGGAGTGGAGCGCACTGATTTCGAGTTCTCTCTCTCTCTCTCTTTAGCTCGCTCTCTGTAATGAAAATAACAAATCTACCCGGACAACGATACATCTATCACTGGCCTTTCCACGTCTTTTGACAAGGTTCTTAAAAGTGGAGTTAGCGAACTGTCAGGAACTTTCGGGCTGGATGGCAAAGACTGTCACGCCTGCCCCTCCTTCGCGTAAAGTCGGACTCGGTCTATCTGTGATGTAGTGGGATGTGAAGTTCAGACCGCTCCTTGCTGCTTTGTTTACTCCACACTGACACCGCTGCCTCGCGCCAATCAGGGGCTCATGGACTCTGACATCACACCGTTAGCTCCAATCGCGTGCGGAGATTGGCAACATCACTTCTAACCCGTTTTCCACACGCTGTCCAAATCACAGCTGTTTATACGGTTTATGACAGACTTTAATAAAAGCAGGGGAATGAGTGAATGTTAAAAACGAGCTTAGACACAGAGGAGCAGAAGATAAATAGCCTACACAAGGTGGTATAGTATGTCGTTATGATAATAGTAATGAGTTATAACTTATTCGTTCTAATTAGGGTTTTTATAAGAAACAGGTAGACGATACATTACTGGAAAACAATGAGCGCAAACGTGCCATTTTACTGAGACCAAATGCCATATTCGTTTTAGGCTTGGATGCATAAATTCTAAAATATTGTCTATATCCATCCGATGCAATTGTGACCAAACTGTACATTTGACCAAAATGTTCCTTGTTTTAGGCTAATATCCCAAAACATGTTGGCATGTCTTTGGCAAAATATTGGCATTTTAAAAAGTTGCAAAGTTATAATATGCTATATTGCTTAAGGCAAAAGGTATTTGCGTTTTTTAAATAGGCTACCAAACTTTCTCAATTACCTGTATAAATGATCTAATTTCTCTCCTTAATATTTGCAGAAATCAATACAGGACGGGAAGTATCAATTCATGTAGGCCTACACTCTAAACTCCAATGTGCTGTCATTACTCAAAACCTTTGAGGAAACCTGTTGTGTTTAATATATCTGAGTACCAGAGGAGGCTGGTGGGAGGAGCTATAGGAGGACGGGCTCATTGTAATGGCTGGAATTAATGGAACGGTATCAAACATATCAAACATATGGAAACCACACCTTTGATTCCGTTCCATTTTTACCATTCCAGCCATTACAATGAGTCTGTCCTCCTATAGCTCCTCTCACCAGCCTCCACTGCTGAGTACAGTTACTTAAAGTGGTTTTGTAGTCATTACTCACATTACTCAAACCAATAGAGTCACTGTGACCATGTCGGGCACATGTGTCAAATTCGTTCCATGGAGGGCCGAGTGTCTGAAGGTTTTTGGTGCTCCCTTGTACTTGATTGATAAATTAAGGAACTCCCCTCACCTGCTTGTCTAGGTCAGGGGTTCTCAAACTTTTTCACTCAGGCCCCCCTTCCAGTATTGTGATATTTGAGTGACTCAAACATTACTACAAAATCTATGGGCTAAAGAACCTAGCTAAAAAACGTTAGCTGACATGGGCTAGTTGATCTGGATATATATCTGACAAGTTATACTGAACAAAAATATCAACGCAACATGTTGGTCCCATGTTTCATGAGCTGAAATAAAAGATCCCAGAAATGTTCCATACGCACAAAAAGCTTATTTCTCTCAATTTTTTTGCACAAATTTGTTAACATCCCTGTTAGTGAGCATTTGTCCTTTGCCAAGATAATCCATCCACCTGACAGGTGTGGCATATCAAGAAGCTGAATAAACACCATGATCATTACACAGGTGCCCCTTGTGCTGGGGACAATAAAGGCCACTCTAAAATGTGCACTTTTGTCACACAACACAATGCCACAGATCTCTCAAGTTTTGAGGGAGCGTGCAATTGGCATGCTGACTGCAGGAATGTCCACCAGCGCTGTTGCCAGAGAATTGAATGTTACTTTCTCTACCATAAGCCGCCTCCAACGTCGTTTTAGAGAATTTGGCAGTACGTTCAACCAGACTAAATACCGCAGACCACGTGAAACCACGCCAGCCCAGGACCTCCACATCCGGCTTCTTCACCTGCGGGATCGTCTGACACCAGCCTCCCGGACAGCTGATGAAACTGAGGAGTATTTCTGTCTGTAATAAAGCCCTTATTTGGGAAAAAATTCATTCTGATTGGCTGGGCCTGACTCCCAAGTGGGTGGGCCTATGCCCTCCCAGGCCCACCCATGGCTGCACCCATGCCCAGTCATGTGAAGTCCATAGATTAGGGCCTAATTTATTTATTTTAATTGACTGATTTCCTTATATGAACTGTAACTCAGTAAAATCTTGAAATTGTTGCATGTTGCGTTTATATTTTTGTTCAGTATATAAATATCTCTCTAAAGTATGCAATGATTGACATGACAAGAGGAAAACTGATTATGCACTACCCAATTTCGAAATTGCACCTTGTGCATTCTACTATTACAACTTTCAAGAGTAAGTTGATGTGACTTCTCATTTAGTTATGAGTAAGTACCACATAAACATTTTAAGTAATACTTAATTTATTGTAATCATGAATGCATGAACTCATGGCTCAAAGTGGAAGAGAGATTGACTTCATCACTACTTGTTTTTGTAAGAAGTGTTGACATGCTGAATGCACCGAGGTGTCTGTTTAAACTACTAGCACACAGCTCGGACAAACATGTATACCCCACAAGACATGCCACCAAAGGTCTCTTCACAATCCTCAAGTCAAGAACAGACTATGGGACGCGCACCGTACTACATAGAGCCATGGCTACATAAAACTCTACTTCACATCAGGTAACTGATGCAAGCAGTAGAATAAGATTTAAAAAACAGATAAAAATACACCTTATGGAACAGCGGGGACTGTGAAGAGACACACACACAGGCACAGACACACATACACCTGATAAGACACGCACTCTACACACGTACACATGGATGTTGTATTGTAAATATGTGATAGTGGAGTAATGGTCTAAGGGAACACACTAAATGTATTGGGTAAAGTGTTGTAATGTAATATTTGAAATTGTTTATAACTGCTTTAATATTGATGGACCCCAGGGAGAGTACAAATACAAACACAAATACACATGCATGCACACGAACACACACACACACACACACACACACAAACACACTGATTTCATTATACCCTATCCATTAGACATTATCTTTTAATTCAAATATAATTATATTTTCTTACATAAATTACAATGTAATAATTATTTCCAAACTATCAAATAGGCAATACTACTAATAATTGTTGGAATTATGGTGTTTTATCATTCTAAATAACTTGAATTTAGTTGAATTTCTCATGCATATTGTTCATGCGGTGATAGCCTACAGTGTAAAGGGGTTACTGTGAATTTGACAGTACCTTACAGGCAGCTCAATGGGAAGTAACATTCTGTATTTCATATTACAGTACACCTACTGTAATATAAATACGGTGTAATGACACAGTACAATACCGTAAAATTGACTGGATTATACTTTAAAAAAGTAAATGCTACCTTAATCGAAATGAATTCATTTGTATTTCATAGTATTTTACTGTAATTACAAGGGATTGGTGCAAGCAGGTTGGCTGCTAGGTAAAGTGTTTACACATTAATGTATATTTAGTGTTTTATATCACTTGCACTTCTAGAGGCCTTAATAAAGGCTTCCAAACTGGCAGCGACTACAGGGTAAAATAGACCAAAAGGACATGGCAAACTGCTCAACCATTTAAGGTTCAAGTCTTGATGCCACTCCAATCTGTCCCCTATAAAAATTGATGGAGCACTATAACCATATAGGAGTTAAATTGGTAAATTGGTATGTTAATGAGCCAGAAACAACAATACCATGCGCCCGCTAGTGGTCAAAAGGTTTTTCGCACTGCAAAGAAAACAGAATGGTACTGTATTCTGTGGGGTGGAATTACAGTACTATTCAAAATACAGCAATTATTTCCCCGCCCACAACATTTTCCCACAATGCACCATAATTTACAGTAAGCTGCAGTAAAACATTTCAGAGTATTTTACCCCAAATTACCATATAATTTAAACTTTTCAGTTTTAGTGTTTAATGTTGATCATTTCCGATCATAAGGCTACTCTGCAATTATTTCATCTAGAGAATTAACATTTAAACTGTACACTTACACACGTACGTCTAAAAACACATCAAAATGTCAGAGCAAAGTTGTAAAACACAATAGCCTCATATAACGCTTTGACTGTAAAGTGTTGGGCAACTCGTTTCAGTCAGATTGCTGGAATGCTTTTGCCTGTTATATATCGATTGGAATGCACCAATTATTTACTTTAAAAAATCTACTAAACTTTGAATACTAAGCACTGTTGAAAAGCTCATCATCTTGTCAGATATTTTCCTGAAACAAATGCAAGCTGTAGCCTATCGATGATGATGCCCGACCTGTTGCACACTAAACCACACGTTGAAGTTACCTCATTTGCAACAATCTGTTAAATTCAGTTCCTGAAATTGTCATTCCTTATCTTTAACCTAAATGACTATTTTATACATATAAAAACATAGCAATACATTGTCTGAACATTTGTACACGGAGCCATGTTACAACACATCAGTCATTACTCACCTGCACCAGTCAGGTCCTCTGTAGAAAAATAAATGTAACTGTAAGTCGCTCTGGATAAGAGCGTCTACTAAATGACTAAAATGTCAAAAATGTAAAGTGAACTCTCCCTGGGAAACAAA